GACGTCTGCGTGTGTTCCCTCGGTCAACAACGAAATCTCCACACTCAAACAATATTTACTAGGACCCCCTGTCGTCACCTAATTGTTCTCAACTATCATAAATTCTCTGTGAACTTTAACTTCCAAATGTCACGACAATCATTTAGTGTAAAAAGTCTTCGGAAAACGCTTGAACACAACTTTTCCTTTTCTTTTTTTTTTTTTTATGTCGGGGACTTGATCTAATGGTTAGTTTTAAGTAAAAAAAGTAAAGTTTTAAAAATATTTATAACTTTAAAATGCGAATTATAGAATGTAATCATAAAGAAATAGGATTAAATTGTATTTTTTTAAGTTATAAAGGTTAATGAATCATATAACATTGTTGTTAGTTATTTTTAAATAAATCGGTTTTTAGTATTTGATGGAATTTAGTTTCCCTGGCAATCTATTTAAAAAAAAAAGGATTCACTAGTTTCGAAACGACGAATCTGTTTTAACCATATTTTGATACCATTAAATTAAATAACACTCTCTAAAACACGAACACACGTTATGCTTACATAGTGTTTTTAGAGTTGATAGACAAATACGCCAAGTTTTAACTTAAACAAAGAATTATGTGGGAGCACTGGTCTGTTAAATATAAGAAGTCAGCAAAATATCTATAGAGCCTGCTGCTTGGCATTTCTGTGAGCTTGACAAAATGACGCTGTATTACACGACGAACTGTTACGTTTGATGTGATTACTATATTAGATTATCAACATGACAAGCCTTCTTTACCAACATTACGTCATATGGCGAACTAGCAATGTGTCTCCTATCAGGTAGACCAGGGGTCTCCAAACTACGGCCCGCGGGCCGCATGCGGCCCGCGAAGTCCTCTCATCCGGCCCGCGGAGATCTTTTTGTCCAAGGAAAAATCGTTTGTCGGTGATTGCTGTGGAACTTTGCCCAGAAAAATCAAAGACATGCCTGGAAGAAACTGGCCCCCGAAGTGAAATTTGATAGCTAATGCGGCCCTCCGACTGAAAAGTTTGGAGACCCCTGAGGTAGACATATGAATGAAATACCATCACTGTGTCTCCTATCAGGTAGACACGCTGTTCAATAGATCTTACAAGGTTGTCTCATGTTATAAGAGACATGACCTATCCCTTTAAAGCCCAAAAAGAGCAAATGGCTGCAACTCCACCTCTCCAATGGGCTTTGTTTAGGCCAAATCTCTTCAGTTGAGCCCATGTAAACCCAGCAGCCCTTGCATCTCCTTCCGCAGTCCTTCTCCAGGATTTCTCAGGTCGACCTACGTTCCCTTCCCCCTGGGGGTTCCAGTCCAACTCTCACCTCTCGATGTTGACCTCTTCCCCTCCCAGGACGTGCCCGACCCGCCCCAATTTGTGGCTTTAATGTCCCCCTGTCTACTGGGTTATACTTACAAGAAAGGTAGACACGAGAAACCACCCAC